TCCTTCACCCCCTGCACTATTATGCTTGCTCACCATCTCTCTCTCCTTCACCCCCTGCACTATTATCTATTTTTGCACTCTTTTTGTCTTTAATTTGTCTATAACACTTGGCATTTGTGGATCATACAGTCTTGTGGAGGAAGCTTTTACTGATAGGACAGTAAAAAAGTTATCTGTGAACTTGTCCCAAACCTGAAACTCCTGTATTGCTTCTACTACAATTACTGTTGAAAAGTTTGAGGTCAGTAATTGTATTATTATTATTGAATTTTTTTTAAGTTAACACTTTAATTCCGTAAGGACATTAAATTGATTGAAAGTGAAGGTAAATACATTTATAATGTTAAATGTATATGAAAAAGTTCTATCTCATATAAAAGCTGTTATTTTGACATTTCTGATATCAACATTGATAATAATATTTTTTTCTTGATTACCAAATTACCAAATTGAAATGTTTTGTAGAGAATCGTGTGTCAAGAGTAATGGATGTAGAAAATTCAGCTTTGCCATCAGAGAAATGAATTGTATTTTAAAATATATTTAAATAGAGAACAGTTATTTGAAATCGTAATAATTTTTCACAATATTAGTTTTTACTGTATTTTGATCAAATAGATGCAACCCTTTTTTGCAGACTTTTAAAACATTTAAAAAATCTTACTGACCCCAAACTTTTGAGTGGTAGTGTTAAAATATATGTATGTAAAAAATAATACACACTGCCGCTCAATTTATTATATTATAATTATATTATACATTATATAATTATATATTATACAGCTTAGTCATAATAGTCTTCCAGCTCCAACCAAGTTGACCAAGATAGTCTACCAAATTAACCACTTATGACATAAATAACCAGGGGTGCGTGCCTTTCTAATTAATAAATGGTATGAGTGCAAATCAGCCACTATGCTTGTTTAAATATAATATGCCCTAATGTGTTTACTCATCTGAGAAGACTGCTGTTGTACTGCAGTACTTGAAGTGCCAGCTCTCTTTAGCTTCTTTCTCTCAACATTTGCATTCCGGCAAGTGTAATAATTTAAATGATAAAATATTCTTCTCCTCTGGGAGCATTTTAATCAAGTTTTGGTGTTTTTACCTTTGCCCGGTAGCACATATACACACTTATAACAGTGGAATCCAACACAAGCACAGTCGTGTAGTCAGCTGGCATGTTGGTAGATTGCGTGTTGGAGTGAAAATATTTTGCTCCGAGTTCTCAGCAATAATTTATTTTCATTTCAACTTTGTCCTCAAGGTTTATAAAAAAATTAATTCAGAAGAAAAAAAAAACAAATTAAACAATTGTTAGCATACAGTAAGAGTATAGAGCTATAAAATGAACATGAATGGCATAGTTCAGATAATTTAGTTTTACAAGTGTGAGAAGCATTTTAGTTTTTTTTTTTTTTGGGGAATATTTTCATTTGTGTAATTGTAATGATGAACAACAATAAAGGTCAGGAAGGGCCAGATTCACTAAACAGGGCAAATTAGCAAATGGCTAAAATACCAGTAATTTGACGAGCGCAAATGTTAGTAAATCGCGTTCAATGAAATTATTTTTCATAACACATAAACAATTACAGTGTACACTACTACAAAATTGAATAAGTGCTACCGGCCATTTAACAGTCATCTTATCAGTCGGACAGCAGCTTGTCACACAGCCTGCCTGTGCTACAACAGCAGCTGGAAAACTTGACCAACGTTTGTCCTTTAATGTTCCAGTGTGCGTGCTGGCCCGTCATGCTCGGGTCTCCACCTCACTTCCTGAATCACTCTGAGTCACATCAGCCTCTAGGACCATCTCTAAATCATTTCAACCGCACCATATGCTTCCCATAATTTAGCTCCAACAATAATGCGTCCCATTACTCATCCACACTCCCCTCAGGAGGGCTTGTGTTAGAACGACGTACGACAGTTCATTATCACTTTATAACCCCCTCAGAAGAGCACTCAGAAGAATGGAAATACTTCTGTTTGTCTGCAGGGAATTTAATTTATGTGTGTGCTCCCTGACAGAGAGTGGCATGAATTGATGGTTACGGTGAAGACGCAACAGTGTAGATGTCAGTTGACAGCTGAAACCTCAAATGAGGCATATCAGTTTTAAGGGCCATTGTTGGGGCCATTAACCAATCCTCACTTAGGTTTACTTGAAACTGGCATGTGCGTATTTTAAGTGTTGTGTGGTTATTGATCTGTCAGTAAAAAGCTGTTTTGTTTGCATAGTGGTTCTCTAGCATGAGAGCTCAAAAACTCTCTTTCTGCGTAAAGGTTGATAGATTAATGTTGTGTTTATTGCTTTGATTAATTCCAATTAACATCATTTTGGGTTAATGCGATGCAAGGCTTCTGCTGTAATTAAGATGTCAGAGGGAACCCAAACCCAGCCAATTAAACAGACAATTTGTTACTCTTGTTGATCAAATACATCATTGTTTGATCCTGGTGTGAACACAAAACGCCATGCGGTTTTGGCTTTGATAAATGTTTGACTCACTTTAACTTGTCACACAGCGTCGTAACCCGGCATGATGCAGCAAGTGATAAGCAACATTTTATCAATACTATATTATTATTATTATTATTATTATATTTTTGTTGCATTGCTCTGAGTAGCTCTTTCTACAGTGAAATTAAATCAGTGAAATATGTGATTGGCAGTGATTGTGTCTCATTGTTCAGCATTTTACTGAAATCTTTGCTGAAATGCAAGGATGTCATGATGTTACAATTTATGCATGTCATGTAGCTGATGGGTTTGGTCTATAACTGACTGTAGTCTTGTATTTATATATGTATCTTGTATCACTATTGTTGTCTTGGGCCTCTGTGGAATTTTTGTGACTCCTCGTGCCTCAACTCGGTTTTGACCAAATCTTAGATTGTCTGATTCGGTCTGATATCCTACAGTATAATGAATATAAAAAAGAATGCTACTGTACGGTTGACATCACATTATATTGACCATCTCATCATGTTTAGTCACTTCTGTTTAAGTGCATAGCTCTTTATTGGAAGTCGTGACCTAATGGTTAGAGAGTTGGACTCATAACCCAAAGGTTGTGGGTTCGAGTCTCGTACCGGCAGGGATTGTGGGTGGGGGGAGTGAATGTACAGCGCTCTCTCCCACCTTCAATACCACGACTGAGGTGCCCTTGATTAAGGCGCCAAACCCCCAACTGCTCCCCGGGCGCCGCAGCAAAAAATGGCTGCCCACTGCTCCGGGTGTGTGTTCACGGTGTGTGTGTGTTCACTGCTGTGTGTGTGCACTTTGGATAGGATAAATGCAGAGTTCTAATTCCGAGTATGGGTTACCATACTTGGCTTCATGTCACGTCACTTTCACTTTTTTTTTTTTATCCTTGTTTTGTATCATTTGTGAATCATCAGTGTTTGAAAGGATCCAGGAGACCTGTTCCTATTAATAGAGCTCCTAGTCAAGCAGATGAAAGCATAAGAGAAATGTTCCCTGACTGCTATTGCCTCTGTCCTTGTGATTCACTTAAGATCCTCTCTGAAAAGAGTGTCTTATAAGGGGAGATGGACCCATTGTGATGGCTGTTGAAGCTGCATCTGTTAAAGGCACTAGGTGACTGCAAATGGAAAATTACCAGGTTATAACAGAAAGCACCTCCTCACTGTCAGTGACAGGTGAAATGGGTGCCTTTTCCGGTTTGAAATTGAAAGCAAATATTTTGTAGATTTGAAGTAAGTGTTTTAAAATTTGAAACTTGAAACTACAAGGTTTCAATGCTGGTATTTCTACCAATAACCAGTTTTAAATTTTCTACCAACATGATAGGATTTTTAACATGATCCCTTAATGAAACTCAAAGATTAAATGGCATACAATAAACAAACAAACAGGGTTTTTTTTCCATTTCACAGCAACAGAGTTTTGTTTGTTTATTTGTTGGTTGGTTTGTTCAAAGTATGATTTGAATATGGATAATGGGCAACTGATTAGCGTTAATAGATCTTAATAACGCCTTGTCAATTAAATAAAAAATATACTTCTGTACAATACAATAATACAGTACAGTAAAAAGAGGATACTGTAACAGTAAAAACAGCAAAACTGCGAACATTTACCATTTTAAATAAATAATTTAATCAGCCATTACTTCAGTCTTCAGTGTCACTTGATCCTTCAGAAATCATTCTAGTATGCTGCTTTTGGTATGCAAAAAACATTAGTATCAATGTTGAACAACATTCTTTGATGGATAGAACGTTCTAAAGAACAGGTTTTTTAAATAGACATATTTTGTAACATTATAAATGCTTTACTTTTTTGATCAATTTCATGTATCATTATCATTTCATGTATTTATGTCTTTAAGAAAAAATTCTGACCCAAACTTTTAATTGAATAGTAGTCTATATAATACAAAATGTTATCTTTTATTTCCATATTTTATGTTCATGAAAGTATGCTAATTTGTTCTTACTTTTCAAGAAGTAAGAAACACTGGGGTAGAGACAAGCCAACAGCACAAAATATTGTTACTGGATTTTTGTTTGTATTTGCAACAATGTCTGTAGCAACATTTTTGTCATCAGCTACTTGTGAAAGTTACTGTTTGCACATGTATATGGGTATTTAAATGGAATACCTTTTGTCAAATAACCCAGGTGACACCAAAGTGATAATGACTCTCTCATGAGAGCTAGATCATGAGATCAGTCACATCAGATTTCACCAGGCTTCAAAGAGCAATCAAATCTACTTCACTATATGTCATTGTAACTTTCAGAGAGAGGAAAAGTCACAGCCATTTTGTCCTACAATTGTTCTCTGAGAAATATGCAGATGTTGCCTCACTTTGCTGCCTATGTGTACGTAAACAACAGCTGGGAGTGTCAGCTATTTATATTGTGCTTATTCTCCATGAATCTGGTGGATGCATCAAATATCTTGTGATTGTTTATGAATAGATAGATACATCTGCTTAAATGCTGTGGATGTAGATTAACAGTGTGTTTGTTCCTCTTCAGTGCATACATCAACAAAGCCAGCGATGCTTCTCAGCAGATCACGCTCATAGACACTGCGCTACATTCCCCAGAGGGCTTAGCAATGGACTGGGTCCATAAGAACATCTACTGGACCGACTCTGGACACAAAACTATCTCAGTCGCGACTGGTGATGGCAAGAAACGGAAGGTGTTGATCGACACAGAGCTTGGGGAACCGCGTGCCATCGCCGTTGACCCAAGACAAGGGTAATGATACAATATTTATAATCAGCCAAAAATGGTTCTCAACACCCTAAGGAAAATATTAAGCCTCCTCCACCAGTCTTTTCAAACCCTCTATTAAATTAAATAATAATGAATAACGTAAATATGATGAACATTACATGATATGTGTCAACACCCCAAGATATTTGAAAGCCTTGTCAAAGGTTCCTTCACTTCGTATGCATCATTTTCTTTTACTGGCGTTCATCATGATGACTCTTTCCCCTCAGGGCTCTTCTCACCATATTACAGAAGTAGAAGAGCATGAAAAACATGCAAATGAGTCTCAAGCTGGTCAGCATACCAACTAATTGTTGCCTGTGGGTAAAGTGCCCACTTCACTCTTATAGAACCGGACCTATGTACTGACTTTTTTTAATGAGCATACTCTCACATATTCATCTTGATTTTTGGCAGGTGATGAGCATTGAAGTTTCAAGGCCATTGGAGCTTTCTAATTTTCCACTTAACTGCATCTGGTTTATTTGGTAACATGAAGCTTTTGTGGCCCAAACAAAGGGAACTCCTCCAAGAGCTCCACAAATTTGTGCAGAATTGTAATAGTCATTCACAAAATTTTATATATCACCTGCCCCTACATTTAATAGGAATTTTGGATAATTAAAGTCCTTAAATGCAGTACATTAAATGTAGTATTCCACAGATTTTCCCACCTGCTTCAAAGATGACAAAGTGGAAATTGAGTAAAACATATTTTAGAATCCTTATTATTAATCCTCATCCAGTAAATAACAAATTGGAAAAATGATGGTGTCAAAAGTGGAGTCAAAAAGGTTGAGAACCACTAGATCTGTCCATGATTCTGATTATGAACATTTTGTTTGTTTTGATCCCCTCAGGTTCATGTACTGGTCAGATTGGGGAACGCTGGCCAAGATCGAGAAAGCCGGAATGAACGGAGTGGATCGACAAGTTCTGGTTTCAGAGAGGATCGAGTGGCCCAATGGGATTGCGCTCGGTAAAACACCATTTGAAAGTTTTGCAGTTCAGTTTTTCCATTCAAATCATCAAATATAGACAAAATAGAGAAAAACACACTGGAGAATAGCAGAAAAGACAACAAAAGATAAAAGAGAAACAGCAGAGAGCAAATCAAAGCATATCATACCAAAAAGCAAGACACAAGAGAGCTGCGTTTGCCATCATTACAAGAGACATCAACCAAAATACTAGAGGAGAAAGGGGAAAAAAACATTAGGATTGAGAAAGACCAAATAAACCCAGAAAGAGTGAGGCAGAAGGAGAAGAAAAGAGTGTTAATAATGAAGAGCAGCCTCCTGTGGCCAACAGGGCTTTGAATCATTCACCTTCATTGTTTCTCATCAATCACCTGTCAGTTTGGGAAAAACTAAATGGAATTGCTCAAGCAATGCTGTCAATATCGCCATCATTTCTCTGGCTTGCTTAACATGAAAGCCATTTGAAAAAGCAGTTATGGTAGACAGATAGAAAAAAAGATATTGACAAAAAAAGGTGGAATTGAGAATTGCTAAGTCTGTTTAGAAACAAAATACTTTTATAATGGGAAAAGTAACCTTGCAAAGCAGTGAGATTTTGAAGTGCGTTGTGTAGTGGCTTTTTTGTCATTGTTTTTTTTTTTTTTTCAATTGTGCCTTCCATTTTATTTCCAACTGACTTTTTTACTTGAAATATGAAAAATCATACACTATGAAATATAAATTATCCCTTCAGGTACTTTCCACTATTCTACGTTTCCTTTGACCACTCATGTTAAATTAAAAGCATTTGTTGTATTAGTAAAGTGCTACTTATATGTTCCATTAAAATATCTTTCCTCTTCCAGATCTGTCTAGTAGACGACTCTACTGGGTGGATTCCAAGCTTCATTTGATCTCCAGTGTGGACCTAAATGGAGACAACCGTAGAGTTTTGCTGTCCTCCATGGATCATCTTGGACATCCCTTTGCCCTGACTCTTTTTGAGGCAAGCAAATTTATCAAATAATTTTCTGAGGTACTCATTCATGCAGGCACAGATGGAGCTGCATTGGCAAGAACTTCCTACGCTCAGTTTGGCTTCATAATGCACACATAAACATGTTTCTGCTCACAGCGTGTAGTTGGAGAACAGGGGTCTCACTGTGAGAAAGTAACACTTGCCAAGAGATGTATGGCTGTGGCACCAGCCAACAACACAAACCAAATTAAAAAGCCTTTTTACTTTGGCAGCTTCTAAGGCACCTGAAGGCAGGACCCAGCCCAAACAATAGATCACTTAATTTCCTTCATTAGGCCAGTCGATGAGCCAGCTCAGTAAGAGGGCACCCTGGGGCCAAACCCTAGAAAAAGGAAACTTTTACTTTTGTCCAGGGCACATGTGAAATGAACCTCTACTTTGCTGTAGTATCCTTGAGGCTGGTTCTAAAGTACTTCAGCCAAGTTCTCCACTTGGCTGAAGAAGTTGCAAAACAGTAGGAGACAAATGCAGCCCTCTAACTTTAGGGATGTTTTGTAGATGTGCTTAAAGGAGTATGCAAATCTTTCTGTATGAAACATTTGTGCAGTCTTTGGTGCAGGAGTCAATTCCAGTAAGCTCATTATTTTGGTTCATTATTTTTAATTGCATAATTTCATAATTTTGTTTTCACCAAGTACACATTTCGTTTTGGCAGTTGACAGCTTAAAAGGGAACAAAAAAGCATTAAGTAACGAAAATTGAAGCTACTAAATGCCTTTTTCCCATTTCCCTTTTTTATAGTTTTTTTCTTTTCATCATTTACTTACCTTTATGTCATTCCAAACCCATATGGCATTCATTTTTCAGTGAAACACCATGAAAGTCGTCTGTCTTACACTTATGTGAAGAACTGAACATTAATGAGATAATAAAAGTATAATCATTTAATTGAATAGTTTTATTTATTTGGGATCAGTAAGATTTTTTTTCACAGTTAATAGAATTTTTTTTCAGCAAGGATGCAAAAAATTGTTTAAAAGTGACTAAAGACTTTTTAGATTAGATTAAACTTTTATTGTCACTGTGCAGAGTACAAGTACAGAGCCAATGAAATGCAGCAGGTAAGAACAGTGTGAGTGAGGAGTGCAGACAAGTTATTGCAGTACAGTGCAGAGTTTTTTTTTTTTTGTTAATCATTAGGTGGTCCACCTAGGATGTAGTGTTCAGCGCCTGAGATTGGACTTCAGTAGGCTTGACAGCTGAGGGAAAGAAACTGTTCCTGTGTCTGCTGGTGCGACAGCGAAGACTCCTATAACGTCTCCCCGATGGGAGAGAAGTGAACAGTCTGTGATTGGGATGAGAGGAGTCTTTGATACTTCTCACTCTCCTTTGGCAGCGTTTGTGGTAAACGTATTTGAAGGAGGGTAGCCCGACACCAGTGGTGTATTGAGCAGTTTTCACCACCCGCTGGAGGGCTTTCTGGTCCGAAGCAGTGCAATTGCCATACCACACTGTGATGCAGTTTGTGAGAATGCTTTCAATTAGAATCAGAATCAGAATGAGCTTTATTGCCAGGTATGTTTACACATACAAGTAATTCGTTTTAGTGACAGAAGCTCCACAGTGCAACAGAATGACAGTGACAAGACAGGACACAGATAATAAAAAATAATAATATACAAATATACAAAATAGACAATGTACAAAATAGCAAAAACACAATATATAATATAGACAATTATGTATGTACAGGTATTGTAACGGCTTTCCAATAAGCCGCTGCCGTTGATAATATGAGTGAGCAAGTTCTAGAACGCGTACAAACAGAGTCCGTGCAAACGGAAATAGATGCTAAACAAATGTCTTTCTTTATTTGTGCTCCAATAAAAATGGTTCCAAAACAACTTGCTATGAGTGTTCCTTGTTCATTAACATGTACAATCCAAGTCCATACCTTGAAGACACAGCATAAGATCATAGTTCATCTTGCACGCTACTCTGCCGTGCGGTCAAAAACTGTGTGCTTCCCAATTACCAACGCACCCCTGGCTCGTACACCGGTGTTACAATTATACTGTGTCACAGTGCCACCCAATGGCCAAGTAAAACTTTACAATAAATGGCTCCAACAGGTATGATATGTGCAAATTTGAAATGTAAATAAGTATGTGTGGTAAATAAATAATGTATAATAGTGTTGTGTGTTCCACATTTATTGTTAAATATTCATGAGATGGATTGCCTGAGGGAAGAAACTGTTCCTGTGCCTGGTCGTTCTGGTGCTCTGTAGCGTCGCCCAGACAGCAACAGTTCAAAGAGGGAGTGTGCTGGATGTGAGGGGTCCAGAGTGATTTTGCTAGCCCTTTTACTCACTCTAGAAGAGTACTGATCTTGGAGAGTGGGGAGGGTTTTACCAATGATTCGCTCAGCAGTCCGGACTATCCTCTGTAGTCTTCTTAGGTCAGATTTGGTAGCTGAGCTGATCCAGACAGTTATAGAAGTGTAGAGGATGAATTCAATGATGGCGGAGTAGAACTGTTTCAGCAGCTCCTGTGGCAGGTTGAACTTCCTCAGCTGGCGAAGGAAGTACAGCCTCTGCTGGGCTTTTTTAACAATGGACTCAATGTGATTGTCCCACTTCAGGTCCTCCACTGTTTTGAGCGTGTTGAGCTCCAGATTGTTGAGACTGCACCAGACAGCCAGCTCTTTAACCTCCTGTCTGTAAGCAGACTCGTCACGGTCCTGAATGAGGCCGATGAGTGTGGTGTCATCTGCAAACTTCAGGAGCTTGACAGAGGGGTCTTTAGATGTGCAGTTATTGGTGTAGAGGGAGAAGAGCAGTGGGCAGAGGACGCAACCTTGGGGCTGCTGATCGTACGGGTGCTGGATGAGAAGTTTCCTATCTTTACTAGTTGCTGCCTGTCTGTCAGGAAGCTGGTGATCCACTGACAGACGAAGGTGTGCACGGAGAGCTGAGTTAATTTGGGCAGGAGGAGGTTTGGGATGATAGTGTTAAAAGCCACGCTGAAGTCCACAAACGGGATACTCACATAAGTCCCTGGTCTGTCTAGATGTTGCAGGATGTAGTGAAGTTCAATGTTGACTGTATCATCCACAGACCAGTTTTTTCTGTAGGCAAGCTGCAGTGGGTCCAGTAAGGGTCCAGTGATGTCCTTCAGATAAGCCAAAACCAGTCAATGATTCATGGCCACAGACGTTAGAGCCACAGGTCTGTAGTCATTAAGTCCAGTAATTTTGGATTTATTTGGGACGGGGATGATGGTGGAGCGTTTGAAGCATGAGGGGACTACGCACAGCTCCAGTGATCTGTTGAAGATCTGTGTGAAGATGGGGGCCAGCTGGTCAGCGCAGGTTTTCAGACAGGCTGGTGTCACACCGTCTGGGCCTGGTGTCTTTCTTCTCTTGTTCTTTCTGAAGACCTGACGCACATCATCAGTGCAACAATTTCAATAGTGCAATAGTAAAAGTTCAGCAGGATGTGGGGGGACAAGTGAACTTCCCTTAGTTTCCTAAGGAAGTAAAGGCACTGTTGTGCCTTTTTGATCAGTATGGAGGTATTGAGGGTCCAGGAAAGATCCTCAGAGAGATGGACACCAAGGAACTTGAAGCTCGCCACGCGCTCCACTTTAGCCCCATCAATGTAAATGGGAGTGTGTGTGGTCGTCCTTTGTCCGCCGGTGGTCTACAATCAACTCTTTGGTCTTCTGGGTGTTGAGTGCAAGGTTATTGTTGGCACACCACGTTGTTAGATGCTGAACCTCGTCCCTGTAGGCCGTCTCATCATTGCCACTGATCAGGCCTACCACCGTGGTGTCATCTGCAAACTTGATTATGTAGTTAGAGCCATGCACAGGTATCCAGTCGTGGGTGAAAAGGGAGTAGAGGATTGGGCTCAGCACACAGCCCTGTGGTACCCCAGTGTTTTAAATTGTTACCAAAAAAAAAGAATGCTGTTCTTTTGAACATTCTATTCAATAAAGAATTATTTAAAACATGTATCATGGATTCCACAAAAATATTAAGCGGCACAATTGTTTTCAAAATTGCTAATAAGAATAAATTGTTCTTAAACATCAAATCAGCATATTAGAATGATTTCTGAAGGATCATGTGCCACTGAAGACTGGAGTAAAGTTCAGCTTTACCATCACAGAAATAAATTACATTTTAAAGTATATTAAAATAGAAAACGGTTATTTTAAGTTGAAATAATATTTCACTGGTTTACTGTAAATAAGCATGGTATGGCAGAGAGCTTTAGTGAACTAAGGAAATTATTTTAGTGTCTTAAAGAAGACAGCGCTGTACACCACATATTGACTTCCAACGCAGCAGACCTCAAATTACATATTAGAAATCCTCCATTTTCCTGTCACCTTTTCAGATGATATGTGACCTTTACATTACCCTGTCTCATAAAACAGACCAATATCTCCACACCAGCTTTCACATTATTTTATTGGTTAGTAGGAAGCACTGAAAATGTCAAGACCAATCCAGTTCCACCGGGATAGTTGCTCCTAACCAAATGAAGCGAAGACTTTGATGAAAGGTTTTAATAAAGTTGCTCCCCTCCCTCAAGGAGTACAAATTTCAGACTTGGATGTTAGAAGCCAGCCTTTTGTGTCATGGATTAAAGCAGTTATCTATATCAGATATGGTGCCTTCGTGACCTGTGCGTTAGATGAGAGCTGCAATGCGGCAGAATTTGAATGCTGTCTAGTGCAGGTTAAGGAGTCCTACTGATCAACAGCCACCAGCAGGAGCACATGACGGAGCTCCACTGGGATCCAGCAGCCTGACCTTTCCAAAGAAGCATGGCTCTGTAAACATCCTCTGATACTCGGAGCCAGCTGCCCACTTGGGCATGCTCAGTCCTCTCAATCTTTTTTTTTTGTGTGCCCTCCCCCCAGTCCTTTTCTTTTGTTACCCCAAAAACACCCCCTCCCGAACTTCCTCATCCATTTCCGCATCCGTTTGAAAAGAAGATGAATCTCAGGTTGTCATAGTAACAGACCATCTCACCATGCACATTTGCAATATTTCTGTAGCGGCTGATAAGGACTGATCAGAGGAGGGAGGCAGACGGAGAATGTTGAAAGTGGTATTGTCAGACAGTGGAGCGCGTGCTTTCAGGCTCATGTAGGTGAAGATACAAAGGAGAGATAGAGCTGCGAGCTTTAATTAGTCTGATGAAAAACCTTTGTGGTCCAAAAGACACAGAAGCCTTTATCTTCATTGTCATCTTGCTCCCGTTTCTTTCCTTTTTTGGTGTCTTGCATCATGCATAGAAAAAAAATACATGCTCTACAGAATAATAACTGCTTGGTTGTGATTTTTTTCTCTATTCAAGTGTCTATTTTGTCCTATTTATTGTTATCCATTTTTCACTGAATCACAATAAAAGACCCAAGAATAATGTGAATGGTAGTCACTTGTTGCCCTAGGTGAGACAAGATGTGATTTAAGTATAAAAAATATATAAAGATGTATTTAACTTCTTATTCATTCTTCATATATACTACCGTTTGGGGTCAGTAAGATTTTTTTCAAAATAAATAATATATAGTTTCAGCAAGATTGCAATAAATTGATCAAAAGTGGCAGTAAATTAAAATTCTGTTTCAAATAAATGCTGTTCTTTTCAGCTTTCTATTCAGTCTATTCAATCAAATTCCTAAAAATTGTAGCAGTTTCCATAGAAAATGTTAAGCAGCACAACTGTTTTCAACATTGATAATAATAAGAAATGTTGCTTGAGCACCAAATCAGAATACTTTCTGTAGGATCTGAAGACAGGAGTAATGGCTGCTGAAAATTCAGCCATCACAAGAATACATTACATTTGTACATAACTAACAAGACACTTGTAAAAATGTGCAGTTATTCTTGTTTCCACACTTTTATACAAAGCTACTTGTATTCAAGACATGCATTTACATATTATCAGTTCGTGTTTTCATTGCAAGTGCTATATTGTTATGTTTGAACCTCAGGAGTGCAATAGCTCCTGCTTGTGTAGAATTCACATTTTATGTTTCTACAGGACCGAGTTTACTGGACAGACTTGGAGGATGAGGCCATCTACAGCGTAAACCGGCTGACAGGGCATGATGTGGCAATGCTGGCTCAACATCTCAACAACCCACTGGATGTGGTGGTGTTCCACGAGCTCCGGCAGCCTCAAGGTGAGAAATAAGTGTAGTACAGATAGAGACCACTTTACATCATTGTAAGGCCCGGTTTCACAGACGGGGCTTAGCTTAAGCCAGGACTAGGCCATAGTTCAATTAGGATTTTAAAGTAATTTTTATAAACATGCCTTAGAAAAAACATTACTGCTGTGCATCTTGAGACAAAACAAGGGCACTGACACATTTCAAGATCAATCAGTGCAAGTTTCTTTCAGTTGAAACAGCTCAGACTTACATTTTAGTCGGGGACTAGCCTTATGCCTTGACTGTGAAACCGGGGGTATATCTATATATCCTGGCCCGTGTCAGAGAGTAACTAGGTAAATGTAGCGGTTTTCTTAACCACATTTTTTAGTAGAATGAATTCAAAAATAGGGTAGTTTTTCCAATAAAGAGCTTTTTTTCTCCCCTAACAACTATTTATTGTGATGTTCTCTCATTCAGGTAGTGTTGGTCCAATACATTTGATTCATTCAACTGAATTATTTCAGTGAACTAAAGAAACGTTTTACTGATTTACCTCATTGTTTTTGTTTCTGCTCAGATTTTTTAATATGTGTTATAAAATCTCTTAAAAGCTTACATTTTGCTGGTAATTTGTTGAGTATTAGATTACTATTTCAAAAGCTGGCATACATTTTATTTTTACATTATTTATAATTCAACATAAGTTATACGAAGTAATGGGCACATGTACGCCACCATTCAAAAGTCTGGAATATGTTTTGAAGGAAGCCTCTTATGCTCACCATAGCTGTATTTATTTAATAAAATAATAATAATAATAATAAAATACAGGAAATTATAGTGAAATATTATTGCAATTTAAAATCACTAACTACTACTAATAAAATAACTACAATTTTAAAGTGTTTATAAATGTATTCCTGTGATAGCAAAGCTGTATTTGTTGAAAAAAAAAAATCTAATATGTTTTCAAAAAAATATATTCTTAATATTTTTGTGAAAAACATAATAAATTTTTATGAACAGAAAGATCAAACGAACAGTATTTGACATATAAATCTTTCGTAAAAATGTAGTCTTTTACTGTGCCTTTTGATCAATGTAATGAGTCCTTGCTGAATAAAATAATTAATTTCTTAAAAATTTTACTGACCTCAAACTTTTTGAAAAATAATGAAACTTTCAGTCTGTTTTATCTATTGAGCTGAATAGCCAGTGATGGATGTTATAATGCATTAGAGGACTCATATCATGAGGAATCAATTTGTTCCTGATCTTTTACATAAAAGACTTTAATGTGCTGTGAAAACACTGAGAATTCAACTTCCTCCCCTGTCCACAAAGATAATTTATTGAAACTAAGCAGAAAAAAAAACGTTGTTGTTCATTTCACACGTAAAGAGTCAGTTTCTTAAAGGTACAGCAGCAAAAAAATAAAAGGCTTTTAATTATTTCTGCCTTTTTGGAGCTAATAGAAACAATGCTTGAACAGTATTATTTTCACAGTGTCACCTTTTTTGCATTGTTATAATAATGAGAGGCACATCTTTGCTGACTCTGTTTTTTCCCCAGTAATAGCAGTCCTATTAGTGAATAGCATATTTATGGTGAATTTTTATTCTAGAGACGGGCAGAGAAAATGAAAGAAGCAGTGTGCGTATGTGTGTGCAGATTTTGATTCTTTGTTTTCATCCTTTTATCACAAACAGACCATGTGCAGCATGCCAGCAGAAGAACCAATTTACAGCCTCCTCACATTAATGAATGAGAAGTGCTATTTGAATCTAAATCAAAGAATTAAACATGTTGCTCTGAAAATGCAAACGAAAGCAGGAAAACACACTTACGCTGAACGAGAAATGTTGAGAATGGAATCCAACCGCTTTTTATATCTCAAGTGCCTCTGAGTGAAATATTAATCAGTTATGCATCCCTGCCAAACACGATTTTATGAGAATGTGTAAGAAAGTGCTACACATAAAATATTATTTAGTAAAAAACAATCTTCTGAGTAGTGTTTGTAGAGCTTAACAACCTTTCCTACAGATTTCCATTGCGCTACATTGCTATATTGTTCAACTGACAATAACATAAGAAAATGATTCTAGTTGTTCAAGCTCAGTCAGTTTGAAGTTCTCGAAATTGGGATTTATACATCATCTGAAAGCTGACTAAATAAGCTTTCCATTGATGTATGGTTTGTTAGGATAGGACAATATTTGGCCGAGATACAACTATTTGAATATCTGGAATCTGAGGGTGCAAAAAAATCTAAATACTGAGAAAATCGCCTTTAAAGTTGTCCAAATGAAGCATATTACTAATCAAAAATTAAGTTTTGATATATTTACGGTAGGAAATTTACATAATATCTTCATGGAACATGATCTTTACTTAATATCCTGAAGATTTTAGGCATAAAAGAAAAATCGATAATTTTGACCCATACCATGTTTTTTTGGCTATTGCTACAAATATACCCCAGCAACTTAAGACTGCTTTTGTGGTCCAGGGTCACATATGTATGAAATCTATCATGTTTAAGTCAACTACACCTACAGCGACAGTATCAAGTACAACCACCACCAGCCCCACCACAACCACTCATTCCAGCTCGCATAGTTCCACCAGCACACACTCCCCAGCCACTTCAACCACAGTGACCACTCAGTCCAGCACTTCAGCAGCAGGGAAACAGCCAGCCTCCACCCAGACGACAGCAGATCACAGACCGACGTCTACAACCATCCACGGCAACAGTATACAAGGGGCCAATGGCAATCTCTCTCATCGCGGTGAGTTTCCGTTTCTGTTTTTGTCTTGATATCATGATCTTTTTTCTCTGCTTCTTTTTTATTCAAAATTGTATTACAATGCAAATATACAGTGTAATGCAATAACTTGGGTACATCTTTTCTATGAAGAGTATGCTTTAAAAACAGCTCTTTAAAAAATATTTTTTAAAACAGGTTGTAAAATTTTATGTGATTCAGCTCCTCAAAAATGTTTTTGTAAAAATACTTTTTAACCTTCATTCATTAACTTTTTTGAAAATAATGGTTAAGAAGGTGTATTCAAGGTGTTAGGAAAAAATGTACTTTTACTTGATGGTTACACCTTGTGACATTTTTAGCATCATTCAAAAAAAATGAAACCTTTCTTGAATATGGTATAAATATTTTTCTAAACCATATGAAACCAACATGAATACGAAGAGTTTTCTTTATCATGGACATTCAAAAGTTGACAGTGACAACAAAGCCAATTAAAATTCTATTTCAAAAAAATTATGTACTTTTGAACTTTCAATTCAGCACAAAATCCCCCCAAAAAATGCATCACTGTTTCCAGAGAAATATTACGCAGAACTGTTTTCAACATTCATAATAAGAAGAAATGTTTCTTGAGCACCAAATCAGAATGATTAATGATGACACTAATGAAAATTCTGCTCTGCCATCAGAAAAATTAATTACTTTTTAAAATGTTAAAATAGAAAACATTTATTTGAAATTGCAATAAAGTCTCACAATATTACAGTTTTTACTGTATTTTGATCAAATAAATGCAGCCTTGGCGAGCATAAAAGTCTTAATTTAAAAAAAAGGTAAATCTTGACTGAAATAATGGCTGCTAAAAAATAAATAAAAATTTTAAATATATTAAAATAGAAAACACTTATTTAAAATGCTAATATCTCACACTATTACTGTTTTTACTGGTGAGCGTTAAAGACTATTTTCAAAATGTTTTAAAAATCTTAGACTACAAACTTTTGATGTCATTGACCTTTATGTAAATATTCATAGGACTGTTGTATAAGAGCAATATAGTGTGATATTGCGTTGTTTTTCTTGTATTGAACTTGTTGTTTTACTGAATTCCATCACCACTGATATTCAGCTGAAGCTTATATAATTGCTCTCCTTCAGTACTCATACAGTAGTCCTCTCAGAGTCTGTGAAAGTTAATGTGTGGTGGAATTTGCTTGCCGAGCATCACTGGGCCACTTGAGAGTGACAGATGAGGCAGCAGTGGTCGCCCAGGGTCCAAAGTGTATCTGTGCTAAATTAGAAAGAGCAGTCAGTGAAGAGAGAGGAGCAGCCAGGCCTGACTGATGAACATTGCCCTCAGCCTGGTTCCTCTTAACCACAACCCCCCCCCCCCCCCCCCCCGGCAGGAAAGTCTTTATCTGGTCAGCAAGCTTTTATAATTGAAGTCAACACTTTAGCATATATACATAATTTTATATTTAAAACATTCATTTTTGCAATTGCACTTTCGGTGGCGAGCGAGGCATTGTCATTAGGTGGCGGCTCCTTTAAGAGCGCAAAGCATTCCGAACTCCGCTATGACGTCAGAGCAGTAAGACGCTGGCCGAAAGTCGCGGAGGGCCAGTGCTCGACTCACGGAGGAGTAGGGTTGGAGCGTATGCTATTCTCGAGTTTTTAATTCAACATTTGTGCCCCCCCCCCCCCTCCCTCTGGGCTTTGACTGGGGACACTCAGGTACACGGCCACCTGGACACAGCAGGAAAAAAGGCATTAGTGACTTCAGTAATAAGATCTATATCCATGATATCCCTCCAAAAGTCTTCGAAAGGTTGTTTGTCGAGACTAAAAATATGGAAAAACAACCAACATTTTAGTAGCCTTTACACCTCTCAGCCCATAATCAAAGCACAGAAGTGCTCATTCTTGATGCTAACCATAAATGTGGGTTCTTGAATATTTTATGACTGCCAGCATATTACACGGTAGACATGGTGAAACTCTCCATTAGATAAAACCTGTAAATTGCTGCACTGAGGATAGTGATGAATTACACCAGCACCCTTTCTGCCTTTTATGGCTGCTTGCAAATGAAGACAAAAACTTGTCTGAATTCTACAAATGTGGCTCTTTTTTTAAACACTGCTGTTGGATCAGTAAGATTTATTTTATTTATTTATTTTAGTAAGATTTTTTTCCAACAAGAATGCATTAAATTGATTAAAAGGGACAATAAGGACTTTACATTGTTAATATTCTTTTAAACTTGAAAGAAATCGCAGTTTCCACAAAAATATTAAGCAGCGTAACGGTTTTTAACATTGATAATATGAAGTGTTTCTTGAGCACCAAATCAAAATATGTGACCCTGGACCAAAAACCAGTCATAAGGGTCAATTTGACATCTGAAAGCTGAATAAATAAGCTTTCCATTGATGTATGGTTTGTTATTATAGGACAATATTTGGCCAAGATACAACTATATGAAAATCTGGAATCTGAGGGTGCAAAAAAATCCAAATATTGAGAAAATCGCCTTTAAAGTTTTCAAATTAAGTCCTTAGCAACGCATATTATATGTGACCCTGGACCAAAAACCAGTCATAAGGGTCAATTTGACATCTGAAAGCTGAATAAATAAGCTTTCCATTGATGTATGGTTTGTTATTATAGGACAATATTTGGCCAAGATACAACTATATGAAAATCTGGAATCTGAGGGTGCAAAAAAATCCAAATATTGAGAAAATCGCCTTTAAAGTTTTCAAATTAAGTCCTTAGCAACGCATATTACTAATAAAAAATTAAGTTTTGATATATTTACGGTAGGAAATTTAATAAATATCTTCATGGAACATGATCTTAAATATCCTAATGATTTTTGGCATAAAAGAAAAATCGATAATTCTGACCCATACAATGTATTGTTGGCTATTGCTACAAATATACCTGTGCTACTTATGACTGGTTTTGTAGTTCAGGGTCACATATTAGAATAATTTCTGAAGGATCATGTGACACTGAAGGCTGGAGTGATGGCTATTGAATTAAAATCGAAAACAGTTCTTTAAATTTCATAATATTATCATTTTAACTGTATTTTTAATCAAATAAATGCTGCCTTGGTCGGCATAAGACTTCTTTCATTAACACATAAAACATTGCAGAAATTGTACCGACCACAATCTTCTGAACGTTGGTGTATGTAGCTATTTAAGTGCCAGGCACACCAGCTGTGAATGTACCTGTAGTAGATTTGTAAAATATATCACATATTGTGCAAAATGATCATAAAACCTTGGGTTGTGAATTTCTGAAGCATGTGTTAGCAGTATTCAGTGCTGTCAGCATCAGCTGTTACAGGCCAATTGTTTGTACTAAAAGCATTTCCACATTGAGTTTGGATACACTCCCTTGTCCTTTGTCTGTGAATAATGATTTTATGGATGTAGTAAATCATTAAGCTTGAAGAAAAATTCAATGCTCTTTGAATAGAAACTTTCAAAAACCCATTTAAAACAGGAACTACACACTATATACAAACAGTAGCAGATGATGCAAATTAAGTTTTGCCATGTAAACCCACATGTCACTGTTATCACATAAATAACACGCTCACTGTAGCTTTAAGAGGATCCCCTTACCGATAATATGTTTTCTTGATTACCTTTCCCTTTATGTGCAGTTGTTACTACATACACTGCATTTCTTTTGTTTCCTACCGACAAGCCCTCAGGCTGTCTTGTCTGTATCTGGATGCCAATGCTGTACCAACTAGTCCTCTTAATCTCCCGGCTCAGACTCCATTATCAGACACTAATTATGCTGTAGCTAATGGAGGGCCACGTGCTAATTGTGAGATTGAGGTGGGATTTATATGGTGGAAACAACTGCTCAGCAGAAGCCTTAAAAGGGAAAGCAACAGCACAAAGCAAAGTGCTGTATATGAATAGCAATATATTGCCTTGAGCAAGATAGCAGTGTAAATGGACACTTCACTATACAAACCGGAGAAGATTCATTTAAATGAAAATGGCAGTGAAAACATGCCTGTTACATGCTGTAACCTCAGTCAGTGTTTTTAATGCTGGAATAGAAAATCCTGTTTTCATTTGCTCACTCTCAATAATTGTGGACAATACAGTGCTGTTTACTAAACTGCAGATGACCGGATCTATTATGATCTTGTGATTTAAATATAAAGTTAATACAGTCTTTCTTTGTTTTTCCCTCATTGTTGCCCGTCTTTCTTTCTTCATCTTTCTGTTTCAGCTGGCAGTGGAAATGACCACTTCCTCCTTGGTAGCAATATAACCGTTGCGGTTCTGGGTATAGTCATTCCAATAGGTGAGTATTAAAGTTAACTAAGCATTTTATCCTGCATTTTGAATTCAGGCTTGTTCACTCAGTAGATGAACAGCTTTTGCCCTTGAGCTTTATGTGCACTACCTGCTTTGGAGACACTTATGGTGGCCCTAACTAGCCATTTATAAACTTGCTGCTGCTCCATTTAGCTTAATATTCCAGGTTAAATACAACTTAAGTGCTGTCGACGGCATGCTATTTATTCCAGAAATAATTTGAACTCAATTTTGAGTTTGTTAAAACTACAAAGAAAAACGTACAGTATAGCTCTTAGAATGAAAGTCTTTATGGCTGTCATATCAAAGGGTTGAAAAGCAGAAATGTGAATCTCATATTTTTGCTATCTGATGTTACTGTCCCTCTGTGCGACAAATCCATTTTCTACACTTTGCAAACACATGATGCATAAAATTATTTAATAATAAATATGTATTCTTAGAGATAACTCGTATAAACCAGTAAAAGCTTTTTCAGAATAATCTGTCAATTGTTATTCTGGCATGGTAGACAATGTGCAGGGACACATTATTGATTTTTCATCAACCAGTAAAATGTGATTCATATTACTTAGTAAGTAAACAGCTTACATTTAAATAGGAATTATTTGTATGAATATGAATTTAAAATGAATTTGCTTGTTGCCTAGAAACAGCATTGTGCAGTGAAATGGATATTGATGTATCAGTTTTTGTAAACTCCGCCGCTGGATTATTATCATTTATTTATTTATTTTTTGTCTTTCTAAAAACATTTTTAGTAATGAAGCCCATTTTATGCTGTGTGTGTATATACATTTTATATATATATATATATATATATATATATATATATATATATATAGTGTGAGAAATATATATAAGTGAATTTAACTTTTTTTAAACATTGCTTTCATAATAATGTTAAAATATAATTTATATTATTTAAACTATTAAGTCAAATTTTTATTTTCCAGGCTGATGAATTTCTGGTTACGTGTTAGCGACAATTCTTTTTCTGTGACTGGGTTTTGCTCTATTAAAACGTGCTGTGTTTATATACATTTATATTTAATTATATTTATACATTTTTATTATATTTATATAATTTTTCACAGACAAGTTTAATAAATGCTTCAGTCTAGTCTGAATATGCTTATACTTTGGTCACAGTATCACAATATCAGTGTGATATTTCCATATTTTAAATGTTAAATTTTTTGTAAGAGCTTTTACTGTACACATTAGATTATCCACAGATGCTGTCGTTTGAGCTTGAATTGTATTAAATCCGGAATATTCTTTCTAAATGAATAGTCTGTTTCAAAAGTTCATATGACAGCAGCCTACAACATATGTTTTTAAATATGTTGTGCTCATAAAATTAGTGCTTTATAAATGGTTATTTTTGATCCTACAAAAAGAAGTGTCGCTCATGCATTTTGATTGTGTGATCATTCTCTCAGTTAGTTTCTATACATCATCCTTTTGACTGTTTGATCGAACTAAATAACAGTGCATGTGTGTATATATAAAGTACAGTATATGCAAATGTATACATCTCATAGTTTCTACAGAAAGTCTCTGTCAAAAGGAACTGATGGGCTTCATTGATTGTCTGGAGAGTGGCTTAGTGGGATTGAAATGACTTGTCTGTGCTCATATTCAACTGAAAGATATCAAGTGAAATACCTTTCCTCTAAAAACAGCTAAACAGCCTATTGTTAATAGCTCTTTGTAATTGCAGTCCCTCTACGATCACTCCTCTTATCTTAAAATTGCAACGTTTTTCTAAATGCTTTCTTTTATTGTAGTTGGTTAAAAATCGAATGTAATTCTCAGACAGAATGCATTCCAAGTGTTTATAGCGAGACAATAGAACCTGAGTGATGGAGGAAAATACATCATGAGGAGGTCTCTGCGGCCCCCCCAGACAAAAGAGCAATTAGGGAGAACTTTCAGGGGACCAGAGCAGCCACGGCTGATCTTGTAAATTAGGGAATGGGTTAGCCAGTCGCTGCAGGAAAGCCACACATGGTTATCAATTCACCCTGAATAGCAATGTGCTCCCCCCAACCATTCACATGTAGGCGTGTGTGAGCATACACACAGTCCAATTCGATTTCTTTCATCAACCAGTAAAATGTGATTCATATTACTTAGTAAGTAAACAGCTTACATTTAAATAGGAATTATTTGTATGAATATGAATTTAAAATGAATTTGCTTGTTGCCTAGAAACAGCATTGTGCAGTGAAATGGATATTGATGTATCAGTTTTTGTAAACTCCGCCGCTGGATTATTATCATTTATTTATTTATTTTTTGTCTTTCTAAAAACATTTTTAGTAATGAAGCCCATTTTATGCTGTGTGTGTATATACATTTTATATATATATATATATATATATATATATATATATATATATATAGTGTGAGAAATATATATAAGTGAATTTAACTTTTTTTAAACATTGCTTTCATAATAATGTTAAAATATAATTTATATTATTTAAACTATTAAGTCAAATTTTTATTTTCCAGGCTGATGAATTTCTGGTTACGTGTTAGCGACAATTCTTTTTCTGTGACTGGGTTTTGCTCTATTAAAACGTGCTGTGTTTATATACATTTATATTTAATTATATTTATACATTTTTATTATATTTATATAATTTTTCACAGACAAGTTTAATAAATGCTTCAGTCTAGTCTGAATATGCTTATACTTTGGTCACAGTATCACAATATCAGTGTGATATTTCCATATTTTAAATGTTAAATTTTTTGTAAGAGCTTTTACTGTACACATTAGATTATCCACAGATGCTGTCGTTTGAGCTTGAATTGTATTAAATCCGGAATATTCTTTCTAAATGAATAGTCTGTTTCAAAAGTTCATATGACAGCAGCCTACAACATATGTTTTTAAATATGTTGTGCTCATAAAATTAGTGCTTTATAAATGGTTATTTTTGATCCTACAAAAAGAAGTGTCGCTCATGCATTTTGATTGTGTGATCATTCTCTCAGTTAGTTTCTATACATCATCCTTTTGACTGTTTGATCGAACTAAATAACAGTGCATGTGTGTATATATAAAGTACAGTATATGCAAATGTATACATCTCATAGTTTCTACAGAAAGTCTCTGTCAAAAGGAACTGATGGGCTTCATTGATTGTCTGGAGAGTGGCTTAGTGGGATTGAAATGACTTGTCTGTGCTCATATTCAACTGAAAGATATCAAGTGAAATACCTTTCCTCTAAAAACTGTGTTAATAGCTCTTTGTAATTGCAGTCCCTCTACGATCACTCCTCTTATCTTAAAATTGCAACGTTTTTCTAAATGCTTTCTTTTATTGTAGTTGGTTAAAAATCGAATGTAATTCTCAGACAGAATGCATTCCAAGTGTTTATAGCGAGACAATAGAACCTGAGTGATGGAGGAAAATACATCATGAGGAGGTCTCTGCGGCCCCCCCAGACAAAAGAGCAATTAGGGAGAACTTTCAGGGGACCAGAGCAGCCACGGCTGATCTTGTAAATTAGGGAATGGGTTAGCCAGTCGCTGCAGGAAAGCCACACATGGTTATCAATTCACCCTGAATAGCAATGTGCTCCCCCCAACCATTCACATGTAGGCGTGTGTGAGCATACACACAGTCCAATTCGATTTCTCCTGGTCCCCTTAGACCCCTGCTTTCTCACTGAGCAGCATGTGAGCACCCCCTTCACATATTCCACTAAGCCACTGTGTGTGTGTGTATCTCTGTGTGTGAGGGAGTGAATGGGAAAGGTGTGTCTTTGGCAGCCCTAGTTTTTAAATATTCATATCTGCTATTTTTAAACCTGCTTTTTAAGTAGCCCTTTTTGTAGTGATGTGATCAGACTCTCCTTAAATTATGTACACTACCATTCAAAAGATTGGGGCTGGTAAGATTTTTGAATGTTTTTGAAAGAAGTCTCTTATGTTCACCAAGCTTGCATTTGTTTGATCAAATATACAGTAAAAACAGCAATATTGTGAAATATTATTGCTATTTAAAAAACTGTAATTTATTCCTATGTTGGCAAAGCTATTTTCAGAAGCCATTATTCCAGTCTTCATGATCCTTCAGAAATCATTTTAATATGCTGATTTTTTAATATTTTTATTTTTATTTTCAGTATACTTTGATACATAAGAACATCATTTATTTGAAATAGAAGGCTTTTGTAATATTATAAATGTTTTTATCATAACTTTTAAACATTTTACTGCATTTTGACTAAAAAGTATTAATTTAAAAATTCCTAACCCCAAACATAAAAGCTGTTTAGAATGGATTTATAGAGTGCTGCACACTATTTATTATACACTGTTTATTGCTTGTGATTTTTTAATTTTATGTGAAACAGTATGCATCATTGCAGCAATGCAGCATTACAATGAATTCAGCAAGTTACCATCAAAAATAAAAACCACATTCCCATAACTTCAAATTAAACTGATCAAACAAATACTGTGTTTTTATTTAGTTATTGTTAATTTACTTTGTTTATCAGTAACTACAAACAAGAATTTTTCCTTCTTTTTTTTAAATTTATATTTATACTAAATGTACCCATGTTGGCATAGACAGGCTATTTTTCGTTATTCATTTTATAAATTATATTTATATTAATTTTGTCTGTTTAGATGTTTGTTAATATGGCTATAAAATCACTCAAATAAGGGTTTTAAATTCTTTAAATATGTCCTTAATTTTGTTAAGTGGGTTGCAACAACTGCATGGAATGAAATGAGATTTGCTTTGATACATAATTTTAATAATGAAACACATTTTAATTACACCATTTAGCCCAGGTCTGCCATGATACACCTTAAGGTTTGAGTGTGTGAGCTTGTATTTATATATATATATACAGTATATATATATATATATATGTGTGTGTGTGTGTGTGTGTGTGTGTACGTGTCATTCGCCGCTCTGTGTCCCCTGGCTGTGTTAACGCCCCCGCCGTATGTGTTGACTGTGTGTTAAACGCATGCAGTTCCTATCCTTGCCACAGTGGTCATTGGCCTGATGTGTACCGGAGGCTACCTGGTGTGGCGCAACTGGAGGAGACGGAACACCAAGAGCATGAACTTCGACAACCCTGTTTACCGCAAGACCACAGAGGACGACGACGACGAAATCCACATCGGCCGCAGCGAGCAGATTGGCCACGTCTACCCTGCAGTGAGTGGCAGTGCCAGACAGCCATACCTAGCACTGCCACTGGGGGGCAGTATCCCAGACCCGGCAGCTCACTGGTACTCAGGGGCACCTATGCTGTCCAGCGCAAAGTGAACAAAGGGAGGAAGGCAGTCGGATAGTGATAAAATATTGGCGAGGCTAAGACAGTGTTCCCTAATAGAAGGCATTATGCTGCCTCTTCCCAAACACATATTTATATTCATAATTCACCACACATTTTCATTCAAATGTATGTTTAATTAGTGCATGGATTACCATGTGAGGTTTCATTAGTCTGTATGTGTTTCCCTTAGGCTGAGTCCGAAATCGCATACTCTCTGAGTAGGTACTTCTTTTGAATAAGTAATTGCGAATATTGTAGTATATAGTATGAATGTGTGTAATATGAATTTAATCCAGATGTACTACGTGTTGTCATTAGCCCCTATCACACAGTAATACCAGTAAATTGCTGTAAAATTACCGCAACGACTTTACTGGTCAATACAAAAATGTGCTGTTCACACAGGCAATGGTAATTTAGCAGTAAAGTCTGTATGTGTGAAAGGTGCTATTGTCATGATGTGACCTATCACCTCTTTACCTTGGCATAATGGGATAGTAAAGCGCCCATTCGATGCAGAAATAGTAGGTCACCCAGGAACTTTTCGCGTATTGTTTTATGACTACTATGAATTCACACATGCTACTCCTGTCACATTCAGTTTTCTCCTACTATATACTAGGATATTATGCGATTTTGGATGCAGCCACAGTCTTTGGTTTCTCGTGTTTTTGTGTGTGTGTGTGTTTGTGTGTGTGTAAAGCTTTAAATGCTTTCCACGTTTGAAAGCTTTGAAATTGTGCTCTCCCATGATCCCATAGTTGTTTTTTATGAATTCAGTATAACTGCTTTAGGGATGAGCAACGAGCACCTTAAATGACTGGACAATCTTTTAATATATTCTAGTTAATTTATTTATGTAGTTGTTTTGCTGGTAATTTATTTGGGTGATGTAATGATTTATTCATATATTTGCATAACCGTTGGCCTGGGCTAAAATAGTTAACATGGCGCTGTTGAGAGCTGTTAGTCAGATGGAGGGATTATAACAGTGTGATTTGAACTTCCTGTGCTACAGTCGGCATGTCAAGCACAAGCAGAGATAAAGACATCAGTCGCGCGGCAGAAACAGGGCGGGCTGCCCCAGTGGCATAACAGGATTCTCTCAAGCTCCCCACACGTCGTGCTCTTCACTTTGTGTGTGTGTGGAGGATCTACATATCGGATGTTTCCGTATCCGTCTCCTTCTCCAAGGGCCTTCTTATTCTTTCCAATGTGTATATTTCTCACCTTCTTTTCTCTCAACACGTGTAACTGTTTTTTATCTGCTCTCCGCAGCGCGTGGCGCTCAGTCCGGACGATGACGGGTTCCCCTGAGGGCGATTCTTGCACTCGCTCTCTCCTTCTCCATCCCTGAATCCATGCGTCCTTTAGTCCTCCATCTCTCCTTCCATCAAGGAGGTCGCACGAGACAACGCAGCAAGGTGCACAGAGCCAAAAGGACACAAGAGCACTTGCTCTCCACAGCCGAGAGCTACAAACTGGGTTTGTCTTCTCGTAGTGTCTTTTTCAGCCCATAAACCCTCAGTCAGGCAATAATCATTAGTTCTTAAATTAACTACTAGCATCATTCCTGCTCTGTGTCAGTAGTAGTAGGTAGTGTTGTTAATGATGACTAACTTCATAGCTCATCACGTTAGTAGTTGCTAACACTCAGTGGCTCTCCTGCTGCACTCGTGCTTTAGTTTTTTAATTAGAAATAGCATTTCAAGCTGGTTTGAATTGATCTATGGCCATTTCGTTTGGCAAAACTTGACAGAGAATTGAGAACAATCCATCCTGTAAGCATGCAAGATACATGGAAGGAAAATATGAAATAGGATGGAGATAGGATGTGGAAAATTCATATTTGCAGACATACTAAACACAAATCCCACCTTGTGACTGTTATGCAGTCATATAATCTCACAAACAAATAATATACCACAAACAATAAAATTTACCTTGTAAATAAATCAGAATCTGTACTTTTCTGTCCATACTTCCAATGCCAAGACTAGTATACTTTCATGTCTTCCATAGTCACTCCAGTCAGATTTGACCCTTCTAAAAGATCTGCAGCCACTATCTGGAGATGAAGGGTTTCACCTCTCAACTTTGAGAGGCAATATTTTTTTCCCATTTTTATTTGTTTCTCCAGCACTGGGGCTTCCATTTTTCTCAAGTTTCTAGGACCAACTAAATTCTTCCTGCCCAGGCACATTTATAACCCCAAAACTTTAGCTCAGGACATCAGTTTTTCTAAAATATTATCAGTTATCGCTACAATCTGTGTGGTTTGTTATCACAAACACGCTAATAGATACGGTTGCCAGGGTTTGATAATGGCTAAAATGCTGTTTGTTCATATCTACAGTCTAGATCGCTCCCTCTCAGACAGGCAAAAACACACACTATCGCACAAACACAAATGTGTCTTTTCCGCCCCTACATTCGTCATGCCTCGGGTAAAACTCTTTAGCATTTAGCATGCTGACAAGAAGACACCGCCTGCCATATTGGGTGGTTTAATGGCATGATAGATTAGAGTCGTAGATCAAAGCTTTGCTCCTCTGAACAGTCATCTGTTCAACGCGTGGCACAGGAAATGTGGAGTGCCTGAATATAGGCTTCCTGTACATATCAGCTCTCCAACTCTCTCCATGTGATGAATGAGCACTTGGTTATTTCTGTATCGCTGTCAGAGGGACACTGACTGATTGAACGGATGTAGAAAAAGAAAAAAGCAGGTTTTGATCTACCTGGATATGCCTGCTGATAAAAAAAAAAACTCAAACCAGCCAAAGGTTTTTTTGCTGCTTTTAGTTAGAATAGTCTGAATTGATTGTTTAAAGGGGTTTGATATATTTTGAACAGTGGTTATCAACTTTTTAACCCCCTTTAGGCCTTCTAATCTAGACTGAAATACATAACCTAAAAAATATGTAATTTAAGACTTATTGGGGGACCCCTGATAGTTTTCCATTTGCCCTGGTTGAGAACCACTGATTTACAGATCTTAGAGCCCATCTAAACCAGCTTAAACCAGCAAAAAACCTTGGGCTGGATTAAGATTTTCCAGCATTGATTAAAACTTTGCATCTGGCAGTATGTCTGTGTACTGGGGTGTGCTGTTAGATCAGATGGTTTTGATGAGCTAATCATGTGAGTTGCCCTTTGTTGGAGACTACCGAAAGTCCCTGAGACGCGTATGTTTGGTTCTGGCCTGCATGTGGGTGGTCTCGCATCTGGAGTGGTTCTTTGTTCCTGCCACCTTTGCTCTTCTCCGCTGTGATCAGGCATCTTGTGTGTGGCTCTTGTAAAACATCCCTCCACATTTCAAAGAATCCTCCATTAAGTCACTGTTTGTTTTCCATTAGAAAGAGAGAGAGTGTGTGAGTTTCGATGCTCAGGCTTTTGTCTGTGAGGATTAAAGAAGCTGCAGTTTGTAGTTGGTTTTCTGATCAGATGGGTTTGACATGAAGAAATGGTTTGGAGATAACAGGCCTTTTGTCATCGATATTATAGTTAGTTTGAATCTTCATCCCTAACCATTTCTCACATCAAACTGTGTATACAGTATTGAAAGTATAATAGATAAATCGATTTTCTAGATTTTTTTTTTAAACGGAAGCTGTAACATTTTAAATGCTTCGAATACTTTCAAAATATATCAGTTCTGAAAATGTGAAACTTTAGTTTTTGATTTGAAAATCTCAGACTAGCAATACAGGGTAACCAAACTGCTTCATGTGTTTTTTCAAAATGACATTAATTATTGTTTGATCATTATCAATGGTTTCTTCAGATGCGCCTTGCTGGAAAAAAAAAAGCTTAAACCAGCCTTATCTAGTTTGCTGGTCTTATTTAATCTGGTTTGCTGGTTTTAGATGGGTTTTGGGCACTTATCATCTGGTTTAGACTGGAAGACAAGCTTTTCGAGCAACTGAACTACCTGGACGCCAGACTAGGATACCAACCAAGACCAGAAAAAAAAAAAGTCTAAACTGGTTTTAGATTGGTTTTGGGCACTTGTTAGTTGATTAGGCTGGGAGACCAACCAAGACCAGAAAAAAACAGCCTAAACTGGTTTTAGATGTATTGTGGGCACTTATCGGCTGGGTTTAGACTGGAAGACAAGCTTGTTGACCAGCTGAACCAACTGGACACCAAACTAAGACCGGTAAAAAGCCTAAACTAGTTTTAAATGTTTTAGGCAATTGGACAATTGGTTAGGCTCGGAGATCAGCTAAAGCTAAACCAACTAAAAACCAGCATGGCCAAACTGGAAGACCAATTAAGACCAGCAAATAAGCTTAGGTTGGTTTAATCAGTTTTTTTTTAATCAGAAGGGGCATCATGCAAAAAAATTTTCCTGACCCCAAACTCATCGTTGTTATCAGGTGTTGCTCTAGAGTAGGCTCAAAAAATGTTTTATGGTAAACTTTGTTACATTGAGCTCTCTAGCTGTCAAGGTTTCTACAAAGAGATCTCTTAGCGTATTATAATTTAGTATGTGGGGGACACATATTCGATAAACACATGTACAGTCTGCTCAGAGAAGGTACTAGACCAGGCTTATAGACCTTGGATTTTCTGCCTCTCTGTACAGTAGATAACACACAGTACTTTGTGACCGTTGTCCATCATTCTTACTCTATGCATATGTACCGGCGAGTCCTGCCTTCCTATAGCACTGCAGGGACTCGCCACGCTGCTCCTTCACCCCACTCCACTGTGACTAACATTCGTGATGTCCGTAACTCCTCCTCATCACTGTCTACCTGTCATCCCCATCAGCCCAACAAGTAGGACATTGCTTTCGAAAGGGCTACCATTCTTTTAAAATGGACGATACACTGGACGATAAGCTGGATCAGTGCTCCTTAGTTTGGTGGACTTGTAGAGCTGAACCGCTGACTCTAAATGGATGAGTCAGGTCCTCCACGCCCATGATAACATTCCTGTCTGTTCTCTTTGTGACCTGTGGAGAAAAAAAACAACAACTCTATTTTGGTTTCCCCCTATGAGATCATGTTGACATGATGTATATTACTTGAAGAACTGTTCATTTTTTGTATGGTTTGTAGGTGTTAATTTAAGGAGAGGGGGAGGAAGGAGGGCTTGTCATTCCTGTCATTTGAGGAAACATGCGTCCCGGTTATGCCATAGCTGTTTGGAGACATTTTGTACGCTGTTTGTTGCACAAACTTTTTCAAGAAGCCTTCTGCACTGTGTAAATGATTACATAGGATGGGGGGAAGGGTGACCGTTGCAGTCCAATGAGTCTGAATCATGATTTGTAAATATGTTTTCATACAGCAAAACTTTTGATAAGGTTTTAAACATTTATTGTAAAAAGAAGATGTGTATATTAGTCTCCTGGACGAAAGAGTGTAGACCATACATGGATTTGTTTGTACTCAAGAGCACTGGATTTCTTTACTACTTGATTGTAACTAAAATTAATAATCTGCCAAAGTGTTTTACATTTTTTTTCTTCCTCCGGTTCTTAATTTTATTTTTGCTTTTTAACCGTAAACATAGCAGAAATAGTGTTTAATTTGTATCTGTACATTTATTTAATAGATAAATTAAATTGTAATTCTATTTAATAGGTTACACTCAGTGTTGAAAGAGAGGGTTACAGTTTAATTTATTGCTGCCTTGTATGTGTTCATGTATATTTCCCTTTTTGTTTTTTTAGTTTTTTGCTTTTCAGGTGTCTGTGTCAGTGGGTCAGAGGTGGTGGGAATAGGGAGGGGGTTTTAACGTTAGCAAAACTGTACTTACATGGAATATCTGTACTGTATGCCAAAATGGTCTCACTCACGTTTCTATGAAATTCAAGTTGTTGATAAATATCTCTATATTGATATATTAAATTGTTAAAAATAGCTCTTTTGTCGCTCTTTGTCTCCTTCTTAAACATTTTTATTGGTTAAATGAAAACAGTTGTCAGTCGTTTGTGGTTCTGTTGTTCCTTTGCATAAATTCGCCCTTCCCTGCATTCCAGCTCATGATTCTTGTCAGTATGCCCACATTGCGGTTATGCCTGGCTCTGTGCCTGGTAATGGAAAGAGGAACTCCCCCACCAGGTGTCACACTGTGATTTTGCTAATGTCTGCGGTGAGTATTAGCCTCCAGGGAGACCTAAATAAAATGGGAAAACTGCTTGAACTCCCAGCGGCAGCCCCTGACAGCGGGCAGATTTAATGAATGTGATTTTTACAAAGTTGCCATGGTGCTCACCCGAAAATCTAGATTCTGTAACCATTTACTCACCCTTATGTGGTTCCAAACCCGTATGGCTTTCTTTTCTCTGCAAAGCACAAAAGTAGATAT